CTTTGCCGATAATGAAGCACGACATGTTGATGTTGGGTGCCGTTCTCAGAGTATACATATCCCCCGTTCATCGTGAATACCTTCTTTGATGCACGCCGATCAATCCTGTCCGGCAGTGAGTGCAACCCAAAACAACTAAAGAGAAGTGAAATTAACGCAAGCGTACACAGTGACCGCGAGTTGTGATGAACTCAATCTGCTGCCCCCCGCGGAGAATCCCGGAGCTCGTCTGTTCACAATCCACCGCGAGATCTTTCGAACCGGGCGGAGAATTTTCGGGCGCAGTTGAGCTAGCCAACAGCGTCAGTAGTGCGTGACCGTTCGTGCTAGATATGAGGCGGTTATAGCTTCAGCGTAAACCCCAAGTTTCCATGCATCCGTGTTGGTCACACTGTGTTTCGGCATACTAATGGAGACTAAGCATGAAGACGTTCACAGAGTCATTCTCTAGAGTAGGTGTCACGCACCTTCCAGGTTGGGGTCCGAAACACTTTGCAACTGGTTGTTTGGAAACATTAAAGGATATGGCAGCGAACCGACAGCAGTTTTATTTTTGTTGTCATTTATTATCAAACCAGAATGCTTGAAACGTTATGTATGCAAAATTCGATTGTGCACTCTGTGTGTTGACCATGGTGGTTCACCTTCTTTCCCCTCCCTCAAAATAGGTCCAATCCCTGCCCACCTTAAATTTTACCACAAACCTTGTATGCATTTCGAGTTTCTCAGCGATCAGTGCAGTTCGCCTCACTGTATTTCGCTGTACGACGGCGAGGACGACGTTAATGATGTTGATGATGATGATGATGATGATGATGATGATGATGATGANTAGATTAACATTTAGAATGCAACGGCTCCACTTGCATGATGTAAGTGAATAGGTGCAGGAATGCCACTGCTTGCTGATAAGCAGCTCGTATCCCCTCAGTTTTTAGAGATTGATTTGGTGAATTCCGAGGTCTCGGATCGTGAAGTCCCACACAACCTAAATGACCAAGGTTTTCATACTTTCACTCTCTATCATCTTCTGATCACCCTTGACTTTTTTCCTCTTCGAACGTGTATCGGTGATCATTGCACGCTGAGTAGANTAGAATCTACTGGAGTCATGTGTAACGCGCATGATACGTCATGCGCGTCGATGGAACAGCTGGTGCTCTGGAATCAATAAGAGGTGCTTTGACACAAAAATATTTAGGTTAGACACAAATGAGCTGATTGACGCCCATGAATAGATTTGGGAGACAGCTTTTCCTAGGCTGTTGTAAAACGCGATTAATGATCGTAATTCGGGAAACGCTCATGAAGTGCTTTGACGACTCACCTGCTATCTTGGTACTTGTTAATCGAAAATCCAAACATCATTGATTTTTGTGAACGAAAAAAGGTACACTCCTGGTTTTTCGCTCGGATTATTCAATCGGATACGGATACAAAAATATGTCTCCAACGAGCATTGGTTCCATCTTTAAAGAAAATACGCTTTATTAATTTGAAAATGAATCCAGGTTGTGTTTCGCCTTTGTGTAATGTAAAGTTGACACGATTTGATTTGTCAAATACCTCTCCATGATTCATCTTCTCATTCCCACTTTCACCCCGCCCCGCATTTGGGCATCCGTTTTCCACCCCTTGACCGCTTACCCATTCCTGCACAGAAATTGCCCATATTGGAAGAGGATCTCGGGATCACGTTCAAACACCTCCGGGTTTTGGCTCGTGCAATGACTATTCGCAAGACCGGATTCAATTTCTACACATTGTAGGCCATCGAAAGCTTTGGGCTTCAGGCCGAGCTAAATGATGTCTGGTTATTGTACTACGTTTTTCATCGTTTATACGTATGGTCATGTGGTTGTGTGTTCCTCGAGTTCTCGTCCGATTGCCAACATGGGGACTAGTTCAATTGAATTCGTGCACCTAGTTAGTCAGGATGTATCCATATTCTTTGTCTCTCTATGGCACTCGTCGAAACTCACGACAAGTCATAGTTTTGACAAGGTCTCGATTAGCGCGTGAAAGATATTTGCCATCCAGAAGTCCTGGATTGCTAATATTTGCGTGGTTTGGCGCGGGTTGGATGGAGCGACCGTATAAACATTTCTGCGGTAAGCTGTCACGTATTTGGTAATGATTCGATGGAGAATCCGTTGTCCCATCGAAATCAGATTAGTCAGCTTAGCTGGTTAAGATGTGTATTACGTATGCCCAGTTTTTCGTCTATCGCATCGCGCCTTATTCACAGTTACAGCTCCTTGTGGGAAGAAACCACGTGGAGGTTCACAGCTGACGTGGAAACGAGGCATGAAGAAATGCACAGAGCGATTCGGTAGGGTAGGTGTCTCCAGTCCCCCAGGGTGGAGTCCAAAAGACTGCAATTGGCTGAAGGATATGGCAACTAACCGACAGCAGTGGTGTTCTCGTTGACATTTCTTATGAGGTCAGAATGCTTGCAGAGGTATGTATGCATTCTGTGTGTTGACCATGGAGGTTATTTCTCTTTTCCGCCCTCGTATTAGGCCCAATCCCTCTGCATTTTTTACTTTATCTCCTAAATTGTATACCTTGTGAGCTTGACAGCAGCGATCCGCAAAGTTCGTCTAGCTAAATTTTGCTGCACGATAATGGCAACCAAACATCACGGTACAAACGCCTAAAATTGCATGACGG